AATGTTCAAACACTTCTGTGTTTCTTTTCTTTACTTGCATTTGTGGTACATGTACTTTATAAATATTGAATCAGATGAGCTAGTGACCAAGGAGAATTAATTTCAATAATGTACAGTACGCGTGTAGCATTTGTCGAGAATTGCACGTCTTATATACCGAAGTATACCGAAAGTCCAAGCATATCAGAGAATTGTACTATAATGAATTCCAAATAATAAGAAATAGTTGCTTCTTATATTATTCAAACGTGGTTATTTCTATTCGTTACACAGGCCTGTAGAAACGGTTTCAAAAGTGTGTGTGTGTGGGGGGGGGGGGATCTTCCCAAAGAATCCGACAGGCAAAAAAAGTTAACTTACTGTACAAATCCTAAATTTTGCCAGTGTTCGACCTTACAACATCAAAAAGTGGGGGGTGGGGGGGGGGGGGCAACCAGCATCTAAAGGAATATTTAATATAGCAAAATATTATATTCAGAAAAAAAAGTGGACGGAAAAAACAAGTTTTGTTATCCCGATTGAATTTCATTATTATTGTTTACTGAGCTAATTAGCTTTATAACATGATTTTACAGTTCTTTCTATACATATTTTGTTAAATCTAATTTTATTTTTTAAGTTAACATTTCAATCTGGTGCAAAACATACAAATGAAATTAATTTTAATTATCTTTATCACAAAAAGTATAATATACGGTCTTCAGAGATCAGTATTTCGTCGATAATAAACATAAAACGAAAAACATATTTTAAAATTTTTATCTTATTTTTGTATGATATATTTAATATAAGAAAACATAAATAAGTCATTGAAATACAGTTAATAATTCAAAATCATTTGAGTTCTCTAGGGTTCTTTGTTTAGCAGTACCCTACAGATCCTGTTATGAAAATATGATTGGTCAATCAACTTCCTTTTACTCCCTTATTCTAGACATTTTTTAACCAATCTGTATATTTTATCCACCTCCAAACCTTTTATACTCGTCTCTACAGACCAATAAACTCGCCTTTAAAAAAAAAAAAATTGCCATCCGACAATAAAAAGACATACATCATGCAATTTTAAGCATGTTACATTCGAAGAGACTATTATTGTTCGATAGTTTTCTAAAATACGTCAAATTATTTTTATACCAATTTTATAATACAAAAGAAGACATTAAATAAAGGGTCCTTTTTTTTTTTTACATATTCAAAAATCTTTTTTTTTAAATTGATTTGATTGAGATATTTGATAAAAATTCTGATGTTCAAGTTTGCACTTTCATCCCGAATGAAATTAATCCGATAAAATTAACTCAAAATAAAAACATCAGCAAATTTTGTCATTCTGATTTAGTTAAGAAAGGAGAAATCAACTTGCTTAATAAGTTAAACGTATTTGTAAACATATTGCAGCCAAACAGTCTATTTTTATTGTGAAAGTGAAAAAGATAATTATATTTCGAGTCCGGATCATTTAAATTAGATCGGGTTAGACTCGGTTATTGCGATTTCTTTTCAAATCCTTTTTCTGACATATTCTAATTTATGAATCGAAGTTACTGGGTGGGAGTAAATATAAAATTTTTTAAATGCAACAAAATCTTTTGCATATATATTTTCTGTTCGCCCGACCCCTGCATCGTGACCTATCACCACTGTAGGATCGATCCCAATATGTTCATTCTGCACATTAAACATACATATTCATGATGTCGAGTATTTGCTGATTCAGTGGGTTTTTTTTTACGATCTTGTCTTGAGAGTACATTTCTGAACTTAAATTTAAACTGCTTTCTCAAGGGTAAATTATAAACTGCATTCAGGGTTATTTTCGCCCCGTGTTATTTTTGCCCTTGCACACATGCAAACAATATTTATTAAATTTGCCCAGTCACAGATCTGTTTAAGAAATTAAACTGTTTTCTTTGAATTCGCTCCGTCTTAAATTCGCCATCTTGTATCTAGGGCAAAGGGGGCGAAAATAAAACGGAGGTAAAAATTTCAATGTATACATTAAATTATACTTTCTAATACTATATATATATTCTAAACAAACTCGAAGTATTTAAGATGTAAATTACATTCTTAATATTCTTAAACATGCGCAGATCCAGAAATTTTATTCGGGGGGGGGGGTGTTCCACCCCATTCAAAAAAAAAAAAAATTCAACCTAAGAAAAAAAAACCAACCTTAACTCTTTTCCTAAGTGCAAAAAGCCTATTTCGTGGTGGTATCCGGTTTTATCAAGGGGGGGGGGGGTACCGGTCTTGTAGAGTATGCTTTCTCCTCTAAAATCTTCGCACCCCCCCCCACCCCCACCCGAAAATTGGCTCTAGAGTAGGATTTCCCTCGGACAATAGGTTCTAGAGTAGGATTTCCCCTACGGAAAAATAACTATACCCCTACGGAAATCCCACATCAGATTCAATTTTCGGAGGGGGGGGGGGGGTCCTACTCTGTGTAGTAGTTATAGAGTGCGATTTCCCTAAGAGCCAATTTTCCCCCAATAAAATTTTATGGCTGTACTTATGTTATGAGGGGAAGGGGGCGACACATTGTTACATGTGTCCCTTCATCTAAATTGTGACAATATGTATTGATTGATTGTATGTAGTTTTACGTCCCATTCGAGAATTTTTCACTCATATAGAGACGTCACCATATATCGGTGAAGGGCTTCAAATTTAGACCTTTACTCGGCACTCAAGGCCATTGGGCAGTCGGGGATCTTTATCGTGCCAACACCTGCCGTGACACGGGGCCTCAGTTTTTAAGGTCTCATCTGAGGGACCCGCAACTTTCACTTCAAAGTGCCGAGCGCCTGGCGAAGGGACTGTCATTTTCTTAATTTTGAATTTACCGTGTGGGAGTAAATACAAAATAGTTGTCATGTTCTAAGTTTTTTATTTACTCCCACCCGGTAAATTCAGAATTTAAAGCATGACAGAACAGTTGCTACCTATTTTTTATCGACTTAGGTCAGTCGCGGCCGAGATTTGAACTCACTGCCTTCCGATCACGGAGCAAGCGCTCTATAGCGACTGAGCTACCGTGACGGCCTTCCAGATGTTTTGAAACATACGAAGAATGAAAAATGAAAATTTTATATCTCATTTTTGTCAGCAACTGTCAAACCTTTTTTAAAAACATTAAAATATTATTCTTTTCATGTAAAATATAACGAGATAACTACTTACTCCATAAACCTAGATAATTAAATCCTTTTAACATTATAAATATCTGGTTAAAAGGAAATATCTAACTTGATATGAAATAATTTATTCATTCTAACGAGATACTAACTCAAACCATTCTGTTGTTCATTGGATTCAAACAACATACAAGTAGTAAAAGGTATACATAAATTACTTTCTTTGAAAGCAAACTGATTTTTTAAACGTTAGATAGCATTGATATACTGCACATTAAAAATATGTGACGAATACAAGTACCGCTACATGCGCCATTAGAGGTGTTAAGGCTTCGAATCTTAGGAGTTTTACATTTCTTTTGAAAGCTTAATATTCGGGTTGAAACTCCATGATTGGAAAAATATGCTAAGAAAATTCTTACTACAGTTGTACTGTATATAAGTCAAAAACACTCACTTTTCATTTAAAATTCAGTGTGTCGTTTATCTTTTTTTTCACCATGGCCGTATAGGAAGGGGGGGGGCACGGGGGAGGTGCCCCACCCACAATAATTGCCAATATATAGAATACTATAGAAGTCATCTGCTATATACTTGTGCCCCTCAATAATAACGTCTGTTGACTTTTTTTTTTTTTTGCTTGTCAAGGAATTTTGGTACTTGATAGTGCCCCCCACTTGAAAATGTATGGTTGTGCCCGCTAAAAATGAAATTGCTTCCTACGGTCCTATTCACAAAAATATTGCGGTTGTAGTTTATATTGACTCCATAACGAGGGCGAAATAGGGGGGAAATTTGGCTCTGGTGTGAGATTTCCCTCGGGGGGGGGGGAATCTTGCTCTAGGGTACAATGTCCGGGGGTAAAGCTTGCTATGAGGGAAATACTTCTATACAACATCGGTAAAATATCTCACCATTAAAGATCTTTCAGAAATGAAATATACTAGAAAAAAAAATGAAAAAAATGATAAAAAAAAAATTAACAAGCATTCACACGGTCAAATAACAATGCATATGACGTCAAGATCCCGGTTGGGGGGGGGGGTGAATTTTCTTTATCATTAAAGGGTGTGACTGCAACGCTTAATGATATACTATACTAACTCAAATTTTCTGTATAATATCATGACTTATATATTGCAATAGCATTTCACACGAAAATATAATTAAAAACTTATCATATCTGAAAATTATTGGAACTACGAATTCCGGGACGCGTTTGATTAACACATCTTTGCACTTACACAAATTTTATCTTTATCCTTAATATTTAAGAAAAGAAGCCATTTTGTTATATTACATCTATAATCCAGAAAATTCAGAGTAGAAATGTTCGAAAGCAAAACCAGCTCACCAGTATTGTCAGTCCGTGCTCTGTGATGTGTACAGAGTTTAACAAATTGAACACAGCCGTGAAACGTAAACTGTTTTTGTAAACAGGGCACGAGCTCTGTTATTGTTAATGTTTACGACTCACCGGGTGTGTTCAATTGTTAAACTCTGCACACACCACTGAGCACGGACTTAACAATACTGTGAGTGGGTTTTGCTTTAGAACATTTCTACTCTGAATTTTCTGGGTTATAATTTTAATATTTTTCATTAATACACAATAAAATTGCCACTTTTCTTAAGTATTAAGAATAAAATTAAAATATGTGAAAGCGCAAGGATGTGTCAATCCAACGCGTCCAGAAATTCGGGGTTTTAATAACTTCGAGATGAAATAAGATTTTTATTATATTTTAGTATGAAATGCTACAGCAAAATACAAGTCATGAAATTATACAGAAAATGTGAGAAAATATTAACTTCAAATCTGTTGTCAAGCATCTTTAATCTTATATTATTGTTACATACGATGTTCCTGTCCATAGTCTTTAAACTGTATCCTGATACTGTAAATACTCTTGATGTTACCAAGGTCTACTCTCCACCACACTTTTTGGTCTGGAGAGAAAGTACCAATCGAATTAGATCTCATACATGTTTCTATGTGTCCATCAACTGCGTTGTTTGCTGCATACATGGAACAGGTTTGAGGAGAACATGGCCACTTCGAACTCTGCATAGAATTCTTACCCTGTGATAAATTATCTATAAGATACAGAAATATACATATCAATGCATGCTGAAGTACAATGTAGATCTAGAATTATTTGGTAGAAATGGCAATTAATTTGCAAGAAAAGTAAAATTTTTCAATTTATTTATTTGGCTGGTGTTACAGTATTACTATAGTATTGATAATGATAGAAATTGAAGCTTATTGACAAGAATTGAAGCTGTAATTGATTTTGAATTAAACTTTACGAAGATTATATGTCCATGTATATGGAAGGGAATAACCCCCAAAAGTCTATTCATCTTGCTAGCTTTTATTCTTAGTCTGCCTACTTCTTTATTCTTTATTATTATTGTAACTATATGTCACTTTGTTTTCATATTCCACTTTATTACATTTCACTTTGAACTTTTTTCATTCTTCATTTTGTCCTTACTTCTATGTTGCTTTATTTTTGTAAATTCGTTCTTCTTTCTTTTAAATTGATACAGTTTTCTTTAATAAATAATTATGATCATCTCTAGTACAAATGTAAATTCAGTCACGCAAACCATGAAGCGCATTCAACGAAGACGAATACAAGCAGTGTGAATTTAATGCGGCATTATACATGTAACACTAGGTGGCAGGGTGTTTGCTGCGAGTGTTGTTAAAATTAAGTACGCAAACCCGGGCCGGGGTTATTCGAGATTTTTCAATTTTCTGTCTTAATATTTTATCAATCGAACCCAAATTTTCAAGTTATGTTTGTTATAGGTTTATTTGTATATGCGGTAAAATTGCCCCGAAATTCTCAATATTTTAGATTTTCTCGAAGATATTTGATTTCCACGTTGGTAAAATAGGAAGGCAGTATCAAGCTGACATTTTTTTTTTTTTTTTTTTTTTTTTTTTGACAAAAAGCTTATAGATTTATGTTTGACAATGGACAAAAAAGTAATTTTGGGGAAATTTATTGTTTTATATTTCTTTCATATTAAAACTTTTCAAACCAGAATTGAAAAAATGTAATGTAAAATAGCAATCAAAAAGCCAACTTCTTTCACATATACAAGAGAAGAAACTCCATCTAGTGTTAGATCTAATCATTTATATCCCTGACACCATTTTAAAGCATAAAGAAACTATAATTTCTTTTGATTATATATTTAAGAAAGTCTTTTAGGAAGAAGTGATATTTTCTATTTCAAATAAAGTTTTATCAATAAAAATTCTGATTTTTAAAAGCATTTGTCTATTCTATTGCCTCTTTAGGAATTTTAAATAGAATGCATGTACATTATGATAATATAATTGAAAAAAAAATGTTATGGTTAGTTGAATTTTAAAAAAAATCAATTTGGTGGTCATTAGTTTCGAATTCAATCATACCAAGAGTCATAAAAATGTAATTCACACAAGCTGGAATATCAAGTAGACCTCTCAGACAATTTTTTCTTGAGTCTAACGAAGGCAGTTCACTTTGGTACAAGATGTGGTTCCTTTTTAAATGGAAAATAGTGCAGGGACACTCATCTAAATGTGTATACTTGAACATCCACCCGCTACACATCTTCTACCCCTTTTTGTTTCACTATGAGCATCAGAGGACATGTTTATTTACCAATGGCATCATCTCGGGTCTTTCTGTCAGAGGTCGGAAAAAAAACACATCACCGGATGTTAAAAATTTATACAAGATGGATTCGCTTCCTATTTATTAAAGAATCGGAAATACAGAGTTAAAAGTCACTCATGTAGTGTATTTTAGGTAATATCTTTACATTCAATAAAGCTGGGCTCCAAACTCTACAAATAAGAGGTCTCCCTACATTTATTTCAAAGTTTATGAAAGGGGGGGGGTTGTGATGGAGGGCTACGTACGTAACACATTCGAGGTTGTTTTTCCGCTTGTCGGAAAGGCCCGATAAGTTTCGATTGGTTTATTCACAAGCAATGTAGTATTACAACAATGTGGCTGTCCCTGCATCTGTTCACATTCTTTACGTCACGCAGCTGCTAACAGCGGAAAATACCGAGCTCATGTTATACTTTCACTGAGCATTTGACAAATTTCAGCTAAACCGCAAATCATACAAACATGATTTTTTTTCGGGACTGGATTTTCAATAAGCAGATAAATATTTTATTCAAACAATATTTATTGATTATTTATTGATTAAAGGTGCCCTTTAATTGAAAAAAAAAATACGTATTTACTCGTAAGTTTTTTTTATTCTTTTAGGGGAAAATATAAACGAATATATTTTGGAAAATGTTAATTCTAAGCATTAAAGTTTAATAACAGTCTACAAAAGAAACATACGGTAAGGTACATATGTGTGAAATGCAAATGTTGAAAGGTTTCACAAATAAAACACGATAATTTTCAAGTACATAGGCATGATAATCAGATATTCAATCTTCAACATTAAATGTTATCTCTGGAATATGTAAAAAGGTCTGTCCGCACATTGTTATCTATAGGTGGTGTGTTTGTTGATATATCTTGTCAAAATATATACTATAAACAATAAAGGAAGAATGTTTTAAAATGTGAAATATGTTTATACAATTAAGGTAACTTTTACGATAATGTTACAAGTAGGAGATATGCAGTCACCAGGAATAGTTTTATATGGCATAAAAGATCTTTACACTTAGAGTAGCAACAATACTTTATTCCATTTTTATGCAAGTGTTATAAAGCAAATGTGGTCTTACATGCAGGTACCTTAGATCAAACACATACAATAAACAAGCATTAATTGCTGTCACCCTAAGTGGTTTAAATCCTTTGAGCAAGGGAAAGCAATCAATTTCTCATTCATTTCGTAAGAAAACATACAGTCATGTAAACAGCGGATTTTCCCTTGGGTTGACAACATTTAATTTTATTTGTACATGATTTAAATAGCTTACCATATCCATATGTTGAAAGTGTTCGCATCAGGAACAACGCAATAAAAATCTCCATTTGCACAAGTAAACACATTAATGAAAGAAGGAAGTATGAACGACACTTTATTAAGGGCTTATCTCTCGGTGCATTAGATAAAGCTTATGTACGTAATGCATATTTTGAAAAGGAAGTTTTTCAATTCCCTTTATGTGTTTTACTTTATGTAAACCTCTGCTGTGCTAACTAAAAGGATGAAGAATTACATAGCAAATACTTTCAAACAGGACACTTCTAAGAAGATAAATAATGATCCTACTTTACATACAAAACCAGACTTGTACTGCTGTATTATCAAGAATATTCTAAAACTCCTGATGTCAGAACTTGTTATTATGACTAAACCTATTGATGTAGTTCTCATAGTTGTCGATTCTCCATTTGATTGATTGATTGTATGTTGTTTTATTCGAGAATTTTTCACTTATATAGAGACGTCACCATATACCGGTGAATGGGTTCAAATTAAGACCTTTACTCGGCTCTCAGGGTCATTGAGCAATGAGGTTCGACACCTACCGTAACACTGGACCTTGATTTATAAGGTGCTATTTCAAGGACCCGTGACTTTTACTTCTAGTGCCGGGCGCTTTGCGAAGGAACATTCACTACCTTATGTCAAACGCGGCGCGTCGAAAGAGGATCGAACCCTGGCCTTACAATCACGAAGCGAACGCCCTGCCACGTTGCTCCGCTTGAATAATTCAATTGAAACGATTATTGATTGGAAACAAGTAAGAGAACTAAAAAGGTTTTCAAATGTACAGATTATTCATTACTTATTCAATCTTTTATATAGATGTAAGGCGGTTTGCAGGTAAGGTGAGGCTTTGATTTACTGCATAGTTTGTTTATTTCTTTGTTCCCTTGCCCCTAAATTTAGCGTTGCATACAAAAATACGGATACATCGAAAGTTAGGCTAGACGTTACATTTGCATGTATAAGTACTTAAGGCCAATATTATTTTCTTTATTTAAGTTGCAGTTTTGGGGGTCTAATAAATATTAGAATTAGAATTTATTTTGTATGTAGCAGATTAAAGTCACTATTGGAAAGATCGACATTTGCTTAATTTGCAGCAAATCGCTGTTGTCTGGAGTATTGGATACTGAAGAAAAAATATACACCACCTATTTTTACACAATATACGTCAGAGATTTCTTAGTTTTTAGAAAATTAAAATCTGAAAGCGAGTTTTTGTTAGTATGATTATGAGCCTTTGATATATCACAATGGATGTTCACCGTCCTGATACTGATATATGAAGCGCATTTCGACAAATTATGTCTCTTCAGTTATGTTTAAGCCGAAACATTGGAAATCCAAAATATTTAAATGGAAAAGACTGGGAAGAGCTGAAAAAAGGTGCCAAATGCTTGAGCCAAATACATAGAAGGATCAGAGCTATGCATGAGGGAGATAATCCTTAATTTTGAAAAAAAAAAATCTATAAAAAAATCATACAAAACTAGATGCTGTCATGAGACAGTAATACCCGCACTAAGGTGTTTGCCTCTAAATGCACACTCCTTCATATTGGGCTTACCAAGGAAAAAGTCAAAATAATTCTATAGTTTACACAGTACATGTATTCGTCAAATCGAGCAAAAATGCTCAGGTTACCATGTGACCTATGAGCCTCTTATAGGTATTTCCTTTTACTTAATTCATTATCAGTCTGAAATAACAGAATTTAATTAATGATGTAAATAAGGTTTTGATAAAAGGGGGGGGGGCTATAAATTTTTGGCCCATAATTGGAACTTTTTAAATTTATTTGCTCAACAACAAATAATATTATTTTAGTACTAAGCATTTTAAATGAATTTATCAAAATGTGCAAACATTTTTTAGTATTTGATTAGGCAAAAACCTCGGAGTCCTTGAAAAGCAATACCCAGTCAATTTTGTCACACCCATCTCAACACACACACACACACACACACAATTTGCCTGTTTTTGGAAATAGGCCTAAATATGGCAAAATTATGTTAGAACATCGTTTGTTATGATAATTTAAAATTTGTTCTTGTACTGTACATGTATGTGAACACCTTTTTGAAAATTTCTACATCACATTGAGCTTGCGTCACCCTACTAGTACTAGTTTTACCGTTATCATTTTTAGATTGCACATGGTGCAGTGAGGTGTACACATAATTACTTGTATATCAATAAGTATTAATTCATTTTGTGTTTTAATTGAATTATATTTCATAAAGTTGACAGGACCTATGACAGTCGGTAAGTACAAGTTTAAGTATAGATTTGGGTAAAATAAACCGAAATGCAAATGTATGGGTAGGTTAAAGTTTTAAAATTTCACATTCTGAAGAGTTATCTTTGTCGACATTACATTCAGTTACAGGCACAGATCCCGGAATTTTTTCCAGGGGGGGGGGGGGTCCACAACTCAGTCAAAAAAATTTCCAGCCCAGAATTTCCTGAGAAGCAAAAAAAAAAAAAAAAAAAAAAAAAAAAAAAAAAAAAAAAAAAAAAAAAAAAACCCAAAAATTAAATAAAAGCAATGATGGTGGGGTCCATGTTTTTAAAGGTAAAGGGGGAGGGCGTCCAAAGTCATATTTTATTTGCTTCTGTAAATCAGTATAAAGTCCTATTTAACTCTGCAAATTCCAGGGGGAGGGGGGGTTCCAATCTCCCTATCCGCTCCGGTCCCTGAAATGACAAATGATCATGTGACTTCAAAATAGTAGAAAACTTTTCCATTTGACTATACATAATTTTGTTTCTTGTGTTATTATGTTATGTACATCTAATGGTTTAAGGTTATGTACCCTTGGAGGTCATCCCCACTCTCTTAATGAACTAGAAATGTTCACAATATGACTACATGAAATTAAATAAAAGTGCATCAATGATAAGATTGCTTGACATTCCGTTCATGAATTTGGGTCAACCCATGTACCCTCCTAGAATTAGGAATGAAAATCATTCAAAGAGATGGACCATTAAACTATTTGTACCTAATTATTCACATTTTTTATGTCAAAGCAAAGTATTAGTTTGCATACATGAACAAACAGGGGTCTTGGAAGGGGAAGGGGCGAGGGGAAGGAGTTATCTCTTTACGTCTTAATTGTTGCAAACTCCTAAAATGAATGTTAATCTCAAATCCGACTTGTACGTCTTCATTATTTTTAAGTAGTGGTGTCTCTATATGAGTGAAAAATTCCGGAGAGGGACATTTAACAACAAACAAACGAATGACTTAAAAAACATAACATACATGTATATGTTTATCAGTCAACAGATATACTTCTGGTCATATCTCTAGTAGAATCAGAAATGATGATATAAATATTTTAAGAATGATTAAGAGTTGAAAAGGTTGTGCATCTTAAAATTGACTAAGCTATATGGTTGAATTAGCTATACCCGTTTAGCTTATTTTGCTACTCAAAGCACCTTGATTAGCTATTTTAATCATACCCTTTTCTGAAATGTGCAGTTTTTTTCAACATGGATACAAGTCATACATTTTCAGCTTCTGAAAACAATGCATGAAAAAAAACACCTGCTTTTCAAATACTGTAACTCTTTCCAAGTACTTGTGATCATAAGTTTTTAGCTCACTTGATTTTTTTTGGTTTTCTGATCACATTTTGTCTGTCATCCATCTGTCCGTCTGTAAACTTTTCAAATTTTTGTCTTCTTCTCTAGAACCACTGGGCCAATTTCAACCAACCTTGACACAAAGCATCTTCGGGTAAAGGGGATTCAAGTTTGTTTAAATGAAGGGTCACACCCTCTTTCAAAGGGGGATAATCAAGAATTAGTGAAAATTTGGTCGTATTATTTTAAAAAGTCTTATTCTTTGAATTTGCTTGTTAGACATTTTGATATGGAAACATCTTCATATAGTGTTGGTTCAAGTTTTTTATGCCCCGCCATGAATATGGCCGAGGCATATAGTGTTTGTCATGTCCGTCTTCCGTCCTTCCATCTGTCCTTCTGTCGCGCTTTGCTTTTAGCTCAGTTCAAAGCTCAGTTTCAAAGAAACTATCCAAGATATTTTATCAAACTTCATATACTGATAGATATTGATAAGAGCTATGCAACGGCATCAACATTTTTTGACCTTGACCTTTCCTTTGACCTTGACCTCACCTTTCTTAAACTAGTGTTTAGCTCAGTTTTAAAGATAACATTAAAGATAGTGTAATCAACCTTCATGTAAGCTATTCAACTGCATCAACATTTTTGATCTTGACTTCACTTTTCTTTGAATTAGTGTTTAGCTTAGTTTTAATGAAATCATTCAAGTTACTGTAATCAAACTTCATCAACATTTTGACTTCAACCCTTCCTTTGACCTTGACCTCTGATATGTATTAGTGAGAGCTATTCAACTGCATCAAAAACTTTTCACCTTGCACTTTCCTGTGACCTTGACCTCCCTTCTCTTTAAATTGTATTTTGCTTAGTTTTAAAGAAACAATTTAAGATGTTTTTATGTAAGCATGCACTTGAACATAATTTGGTGAGAATTTTTCATCTATATCCAATTTTTTTTTTAGATTTTAGTTTCAATTTAAAAGAAACTGTTCTAGTTATTTTCATCAAACTTCATACACTCATACAAATTTTCATGTTGCATTAGTAATATATTTTCGACGGGGCATTCGTGTCCTATGGACATATTTCTAGTTTTCAAATCATGTCCACCGAGGGTAGGGCCAGGCCACAATAAGGGATCAATGTTTTATGTAGGAATAAAAGGAAAATAAATCTTCAAAATTCTTCTTTACAAGAACAACAAGAGCATGATTAATATGGAAACATTCTCAAGAAGTGTAGATTCAAATTTGTACAAATCATGACCCAATGGGTTAGGGAGGGGCCATTTTTTCCTGCCCCTATCGGCCATCCACATGGAAAAGCAAATTTTGAAACCATTTTACACATCCACAGGACAAAATCAATCATCTTCCAAATGATCATAATTTAAGGCTAATGCATAAAATATAAGGGAAGTTCTGGGAACCAGGGTGTTTAAACATGTTAAATATATTTTTTTTTTTTAATTTTGACCCCCAGGGTGAAAATGAAAATTCCGAAACCTTACTGCACATCTACAGGACACCACCAACCATCTCTCAAAAGATGATCAGGCTTCTATGTAAAATGTAAGAGGAGTTCTGGGAACCAGGGGCTTTTTGCATAAAATACGTCATTTTTCGACCCCCATTTGACCCCCATGGTGAAAATGAAAATTTTGAAACCTTACTGCACATGTACATGACACCACCAACCATCTCCTAAAAGGTGATTAGGCTACTGTGTAAAATGTAAGAGGAGTTCTGGGGCTTTTTGCATAAAAAAAGTCATTTTTTCGACCCTAATTTGACCCCCAGGGTGAAAATGAAAATTCCGAAACCTTACTGCATATCTACATGACACCACCAACCATCTCCTAAAAGATGATTAGGCTACTGTTTAAAATGTAAGAGGAGTTCTGGGAACCAGGGGCTTTTTGCTTAAAATACGTCATTTTTCGACCCCATTTGACCCCCAGGGTGAAAATGAAAATTTCGAAACCTTACAGCACATCTACAGGACACCACCAACCATATCCCAAAAGTTAATTAAGCTAGTGTGTAAAATGTAAGAGGAGTTCAGGGAACTAGGGGCTTTTTCCATAAAAAACCGTCATTTTTCGACCCCCATTTGACCCCTAGGGTGAAAATGAAAATTGCAAAACCTTACTGCACATCTACATGACACCACCAACCATCTCCTAAACGATGATTAGGCTACTGTTTAAAATGTAAGAGGAGTTCTGGGGCTTTTTGCATAAAAAAACGTCATTTTTCGACCCCCATTTGACTCCCAGGGTGAAAATGAAAATTCCGAAACGTTACTGCACATCTACATGACACCACCAACCATCTCCCAAAAGATGATTAGGTTACTGTGTAAAATGTAAGAGGAGTTCAGGGAAACAGGGGCATTTTTGCATTTAAAAGAACGTCATTTTTCGATCCCCAGGGAGAAAATGAAAATTCCGAAATCTTACCGCATATCTACATGAAACCACCAACCATCTTCCAAAAGATGATCAGGCTACTGTGTTAAATGTAAGAGGAATTTTAGAAAGAAGAACGTGACAGACGGACGGACGGACATGAGTAATAACAATATACCCGAACCTTCTTTAGAAAGTGCGGGTATAATAATTAGGATCGGTGTTTTTTTTTTTTCTAAACAATCATGTCTTAGGAAAGGACACAAGTTTTGATAAAAAGTATAACATGCATATTTATACAATGTACTTCAGAATTTCTTTACTTTGTTAAGTCAAAAATTAGATTTGTCTCCGCATTTTCCGGTTGGAATTTAAACAACATTTTTGTTAAAACAAATATATTTGATTTAAAAAATTGTTTTATGGCATCTTAAAAAAATGCTTGATGTCATACATCAAACACGGAGCATCATTTCTGAAAACGGGGTGGGGTGATGACAAAATGACAATTAAAAAAAAACAACTTTGATAAGAAAAAATATAATTGTCCAAAGTGAGAAGTGGGGGGGGGGGGGGAGGGGGGGGGGGTCGCCCTTCAAGTGAAAATTTCCATTTGTAGCTTAATAGTAAGACATGATATCTCATAGCGACAACAATTCGGAAGCATCAGTTCATAATGTTTTCATAATCAATATATCATTACATGTACGAGAATGCTTTGGAATATATTTATATTTTAAAAAGACTAAATATTAAATATATTCATATTTTTAAAAGAGCAAACTGACATATACAGTGAAATAATCTGTTATAAATACATCATATCATTTTCTTTCTCATTCACTATGCGAATTTCCGAATGAAAGATTGTGATAGGTAATATCATTACTATTAATAGCATTAAGTTCCTGATAAATATGTGTAGTTTCAGTCTTTACAGCCATTACGTCACTGCATTCAACATATCTTGATCCTTCCCCTCTATTTTTCCAGTACTTTCTATCAAAGAAAAGTATTAAGTTAATTTTGTGCTACAAATGTAATATTATTTCTTTGAAATGCATTTTACATACATTACACATACAGTAGACAATATTGCTAACGCACCACCAAAGAAAATTAATATTTTACTTTTCAAAACTTGTTTATGATGTTATGATATATTATTATGTTACTTAAACAATAAAATAAGGCATTTAAATGTATATACTGATAAATAATTTTGGTGTTAACTGAAGCGGAACTATTCATAGAAAAAAAAATAAATCGTGCTTATACTATTATGGAGGAAAAAAATTCTGTTTTCCTTTGTGTTTGTGTTCTTTATGTTTTTACATATTAAAAACTCAGAAAAAAGTTACACCCTATGCAGCTTTTGAACCTAGAATAGCGTGCTAAAACAGTCAGTATGGTGTCTGCAGGGGGTCCCTTTGGAGAAATAAGTGAAAATTAAAACAAGTAGAAAATATTCATTCCTTTGATGAAATATTGTTGCAAATAGATTAACAAACATAAATATGTTTACCATAGACAGCCACGGCATTAAGTAGCCCCACACGTAAATTTCAATATTGTTCCACAAAACTGGGGCAACCGGAAGTTGGGTGGACTGGGTATGGACACCAAGGCACTGGATGACAACTAGGCGATATGATAGTCAATCACTTTATGTTATTTGATTTTTAACTGGGACAATGCTCCTGTCGCAACCTCATGAATCACGATCGGTAAAATCACCAACTTCTTATCTATGCAAAAAACGATACGAAGTGCATCTCAGGAAATTGGTTTTCGGACAAGAAAGTCATTTAAGGCCCTTGTCATAACACCAAGACAGTTGTCAATCAAAATGTTCTGGAAAAGATGGCACATTATCCATTCTTGTACCGATCAGTCAAATGGTCAATTCACAAATAAGAATAACAAGTGGTGCATTAGCAATTTTGTCTAGTGTACATTTGGTCAAAATTGACTTTTACGATACTGATACCCTTACCTTCGGAGTACTACAAAACAGGTAGATATATTGATGACAAGTGATACAGCAAACCCTACTGATAAAGCTATGACATAGTAATATTGAAAATCACTTTCAGCAACATTATCAGCTGCCATTTTCAGAGAAGCTACAAAAAATGGAACAGAACTATAACCATTCGTACATGTAGTTAATCTTTTTCCTTCAAACATAAGCATTACAAAAGAGGAAAGAGCTTGAAAATGTTGCATTCATAGAGAATTGTTATATGTTTTCTACTGTTTATTGAGAGAGAGAGAGAGAGAGAGAGAGAGAGAGAGAGAGAGCTAAACATGTCCTATTCGTCTGTTGCACGTGTGGTTGACAGCACATTTACCACACTTTTGTACGTCGTCCTCTCCCTAATATCACAAACACATTTTGTTCTCTTTGTTTTTGTTCTTTGTACACTGATTTGTACTTAATTACTCTATTCTTGTAATCAATTATTTTATCATTTTTACTAAGTTAACTCAGGGAATCCAAAAGCATAACTGTGATCCATTGATGTCTCCGTATGGCGGGTTATGGCCAAGGTTAAAGTTTCTCAAATGTAAGTCAAACTCCAAGGTGAGGAGATCAAAAATGGTTCTCAAAGAAAGGACCTGTGACAACGGATAAACCTGGTAAATATGAAAGCCCAAGCACCAACCATTTAAAATTTATGGTCAAGGTTAATGTTTTCTCGTGGATCAAATTTCAAGGTCATGGTCAAAGATTCCAAATTAATGGTACGCAGGGGAAGACCTAGTCATAAGAAATACACATGCAAAATATTTAAGCATTAGCACCAAATGTTCAGAAGTTAATTATGGTGAAGGTTAAAGTATTTCAAAAGTAGGTCAAACTCCAAAATCAAGGTTAAAATTAGTTTTTAGTATCCAAAAAAAAGATCTTGTCAAAAGGAATATATCTTTGAAATTTGAAAGGCCTAGTACTAACTTTTAAAAAAGTCATGGCCATGGGTAACGTTTTTTTTAAAGAGGATCAAACTCTTAGGTCAAGGTCAAAAATATATACAACCCTGGAAACATCTTGTCACGATGAATACACATGTGAAATATTACAGCCCTAGCACCTGTTCAAAAGTTATGGCCAAGGTTAATGTAGTGTAATTTTTTTCAAAAATGGGTCAAACTCCAAGGTCAAGATGAGGAGGTCAAATATGTTTGTACCCAAAGAAAGATCTTGTCACAAGGAAAACACATGTGGAATATGAAAGCCACAGCTTCAATTAATCAAAAGTTATGGGCAAGTAAATGTTTTTTTCGGACAGAGAAACAGACAGGCGGACGGACACGGCAAAAACTATATACCTTCAAATCTTCAATTACGGGGGCATAAAAACTACAACAACGGATATCTCTCACTAAAACAAACTCTGAATGAAAATGAGGAGAATTCTTAAGCCACCTGAAATAAATTAAAGGCAGAAATTTTAAGCACCGCCTTCAAAAATACCTGGTCTGTGTACCCTTGTCAATCAAGAGAATTAAGGTACATCATTGGATGCTAGAACTTGATTGGCATTTACTTTCTAGTCCCTATGTATACCCTGTACACCTTGTTTGGCAATTGAGGTGACTTTTGATCCCTTGATATTTACCACACATGGTATAAACAGTAGAGTAGCTGTATTACTATGGAATGTTTAGCTTGATAGTATATTTACATATACAGACACCTTTAGTATTTGAAATTATTATAATATTCATTATGATAATATATATCAAAATTAGGTATAGCTTTTTTTTTCAAAGCTCAGAAAATACTTTAAATAATATTTTTGTTTAATGGGTGGGGATGCTTTGACACACATTCAATTACAAATTAATAAAAATTATTGAGATTAAACTTTATTTACAACTTTTTATTTCTAATTTAAAATTATCTCAAAATCCCAACACAGGTAAAGTTTGACTTCTTGGGTATTCTACTGTGTATTAAATCACTTCCTGTGTATAGGGATTGGGAGACAAACGACCACAGGTAGACTGCTAGCCCTCAAGGCATTCACACCTGTACAAAATAAGTATCCTTTGGATACCAACAACTTTGACCCTTTGACCTTGTGCTCTCTAGCTAAATTTATTGATGTATTTTACGCAAGAGTGTTTTTATTCGTTTATTAATCCTTACTTTCCGAACAGTTTAACCTCGTCCATCCTGCCTCACATCCATACGTACATACACCGTGAACGTTGTCACATGACTTGTTTCTACAATTATGGTTACACGTGTTGGAACAATTTTGACCATACCATCCCAGCACGCAAGCTTTTGAAACAAAAAAAGATTTATCAAATGAATTAAACAGGTTTAAAAGGGGAAGAAGCAATATTTTTCAAGTAAAAAAGAATAAATCTTGAAATTTTAGACCTTATTTGATCTCTGCTATATATATATATATATATATATATATATATATATATATATATATATATATATATATATATATATATATATATATATATATATATATATATAAGGAATAACTGTCTTATTTTTTGGATTCATGATGTGATCAATCGAGTGGCTTCCGTGATAATTTGCAAAAACGCCGAAGGCGTTTATGCATAAAATTATCACGCAAGCCAATCGATTTATCATCGTCATGAATCCAAAAAATCTGACAGTTATTCCTTATATTTACATGCTCTTGATTCTGCGAATTCCCGTGCTAATAGCCCCGCTTCTGCCTCTATTTGTCCCGCCCCGCACGTGATTTTTTTTTTAACCGCGCCTATTGATGAACCAGTAGATTTATGTAGAAATAAAGTATTTTTACAATTTGTAATTTTATCTCAGACAAAGACATTGGAAATGTAAATATATGACAATAAATAAGACAATAAATAATAGCATGCGCCGTTCGCATCTTTGACCAATATAGCCGTAGACACACCCCTGAATACAAACCCCGTTGAAAGGTTTACATGAATTATTGAGGCAATTTGAACAACTGTTTGAACAGTTCATGCCATAAAAACCAACGTCACATGCTACAAAGGAAAAAATCGGATTAAATAAAGATGAGAAGAAGTCATAAATACAATATATAATTCTTAATCTTATAAATGTAATATACGAGGGTTGTCCTGTAAAATCACAGACAACGTGTTTTTTTATTTAAAAATAATGCGTGCACTAAGCTGAAAATTTTAGTAAATATTTATCTATATTTATGTATACATAAAAGCATTTTTTCGGCATTTCAAAAGATTTGACCTATGGGAGAGAAAATTTTCCCAGAAAGGATAACATTAAAAAATCAATGTTCATTAGATATTTTTTGCTGTATGAAATATGAAGACAACGAACAGTATTCAATCTCGAAAGTCCAATGAAACGATACAGATTTGGAGCAGAGCAAACACGGACCTCAAAATTTAGAGGTGGAATCAAGTGCCATGGAGGAGTGAGCATCCCCTGACGACCGGTCACACCTGCCGTGTGCTCTTCGTTATTATCGAGGAAAAAACGGAAAAATCCGTAGACAGTTCAGTGTATAAATAATGGCCTAACAATTAGTATGAAAAACGTCAGTCAGCATATGACTCAATGATAGATTGTATGTGCTGACAAGGTCATTGTATCGATCGTCACACTTGCGAAATGAGGACTTCAAACGAAACTGTTGATATCCTTGTTTCATCAACTTGCTTGGCAATAGCTTGCCTCGTTTTAGAAATTGTTTATACGTAGAGCATGCTCTTGCGTACCAAATCAACCGAGAGACATAAACCCAATATGCAGGTGATAAGGGTATATTGCTACATAAGTAGGGGAAGTTGACAATTTAAAAGTTGAAGTCATTACGTTTATCATAAAGCTTTGTTGTTAGGTTACCATTAACGACTTTTTCTAGAAAAATATTTAAATATGAAACAGATGTGTCAAAATTTTTGGAATCTTTTATTTCAAGCTCATTGAGATATATCGAGTCGACATATGAATGAAAGTAACTATTGTTAATTGATAATACGTCGTCGATATATCGAAATGTCGAGATGAAGGCCAGAGTAAGTGTTTTCTTCTTCTCATGTAGAAGTTTTTTTTAATAAATTCTGCTTCATATTTATACAAAATAGGCCTGCTAATAAGGGGGTGCAATTGGTACCCATGGGAATTCCAACAGATTGTTGGAAGACCTGATCTCCAAAAACTACATAGATATTGTCAATCAGAAACTCAAGCATCTTTTTAATATCGCCTTCAGAGTACTTGTGTGTACAATCAGAGTGCTTTTTAACAAATAATTTTGCAAATGACCAATGACAAGGTAAGTATATTTACGAGTTCCATTTTTATTGAAAAAACAGCTTGTATGATGTAAAAAGCCTGGACTTTAATTTATTGTGGGGAATGGTTGTATAAAGAGTTGAGAAGTCGTACGTTTTGATGTTATTGATTTTAGTAAAATTTTGTGATTTCAAATTTTCCAAAAGTTCTTTGGAGAGTTTAAATACCCATATCTGATTTACACAACTTCTCGAATATATACTGTTGTACAGTACTGCTCAAGTTTCTCAATCATTACAGTAAATATTTTAGTGAGGAGTCAAGAAAAAGGCTTTGTAGAGCATTTACTGGAGCTCGCTATGTATCTTTGTTTGTAAGGATTTTTATGAAGTTTAGGAATCCAGTGTGGTATGGTAATTCAAATTCATTTTGATTGTTGGGAATATTAAAAATACCTAAAACGGACATATGATTTTTGAAGAACTCCCTCCTTAGAAAGAGAGCTTTGGGTGTAAGTTGGATTTCCACTTGTAGAATTTAATCCTATATATGTCTAATGTTTTCAAATCTGCATTTTGATCCTAAAATTTATTATATGCAACATTAAAATCAACCTCAAAGTTGGCCACAAAAGCATTTTGTCTGTTAAAGCACCGATTATTGCGTGAATTTTGGTCTTGAAGTCCTTTAGGGTAGGCCTGCTCCGAAATATAATTATGATATTTTGATAGGTTTGCAGTTATGTTAAGGCTGTCCGAACGCTTAATATGCATAAGATATATACTATTTAATTTTGAGCTATGTTTTGATTTCAATTTGTAATCTATGTATACATGCACAGTTAAGTTGTAAAGAGAGTTGAATAAGGTATTATAAAATACATTTTTGTGATGTCACATGACTGTGTTGATCACGTGACGGACACATAAATTTTCTTAAATGTTGCACAAAAATCGCATCGGCACAAGTGAAAAACAAAATTATTGTGAACGGCTTGTTACATAAATCAATTAAACATATTCTTGAGTATACATAAAGTGCTGGGGGCAAGTCTGAATTTTATTTCTTAAGAAAATATTTCACAAGAAATTAAACTTACCCGCATACAAGGGTACTTTTTTCACTGTCCGTTGCAATTTATACAACATGGGATGAATTACATTCAATCCTCAAGCAAAATCCAGTCAGAGGACATATTTCTCTAATAGATTCACACAGAATATCTTTAATCTATACTTATTATTCACTTTTGCCAGTCTAATTTATACACGATTTATAAATTCTGACTCTGTCTACGGACGTATAAGGGGGAGTATTTCACATTCATTTTCTGTAATTGTTTGAATACGTACATGTCAGACAAGATAAAGGAAAAACGATATTATCCATCATCATAACAACATACTGAAGCTTTAAACAACAATCCAGGCACATGAATTAAACATCAACGTAAAAGAAATTCTACGTCATGTGAAAGGAATGTAAAAGTTAGGACACTTTCCCCGTCATGTTTGCAGTGACTTGACGTCATATGCCATTATGACGTCAATCTAGGTAGTTCAGAGAAGTTACTACTGCTGGTACACTGTGACATTCTTCGGACAGCCTTATCCTAGCCGCGTTATGATGTCAGAATTTATTTAAAATAAGATTTTTGGGGGGCCATCCATGCCTTAGGGTCGGAAATCACAAAAAAAAAAAAAAAAAAAAAAAACTACAGAAATAAGAAAATCTTTTCTTAAGAATCTGGTTCACATTTATGACAACTATATTCATAATCATAATTGCTCATTTGGTATATCCGCTGAGTAATAACACCGAGGGTATGTTTAAGAGTTCTGGATCAAATCCACCTGGTGCCATGCATTTATAGTTTTTTTTTTAATTCTCGCCTTTTCAAAGACTACTTTAATTTTATTTATAGACTTTGGTGTTTTCCCCTACAATTATCTATCTTTTATGCATGTTCATTCTTGGTATAAAAGACACTAGAGAGAGAGAGAGAGAGAGAGAGAGAGAGAGAGAGAGAGAGAGAGAGAGCAATTCGTAAATTCCATTGTAGCTAAAACACAGTCAAGCGGAACTATACCTCAGTATAGCACACTTTCTTCGAGGACTAGAATTATTGATTCCTTTTAATCGATACAGGTATTCTCGCCTGAAATGAACTGCGATGGATTTCCATTGTATATACTCATAAGAATATACTCATGTTGCTTTTAGTCTGTACTACTAGTGCTTGTCTAGGTTATTGCGCTGGAATGCACGTTATGTATTGCTTATATTATTTAAGCTTAATATACATGTATACTGTCTCCATGGTCACGGTATACCTGAGTATATACATGTACTCCCCCTGCATTCGATGCACCTTAAGTTACATGTACCTCGTCTGCGCACGTTATCTATAAGAAATTCAATTATTATTCTTATTTTTTTTTTATTTTTGAATTTGGAAACGTCACAGTTCTTTGGTACATTACATTGAGAGTACATGTTCATGTAATTTGCTGCCACCTGAATACTGAAAATCAGTAAAATAGCTTTACGAGAGAGAGAGAACACTGTATATTATTTGAAATTAAAATCGCTACAACCGGCCCATAGAAAACAATTCGAGTACGGAGAGGGGTGGGGAGATCATCGAAATAAAACAATAATAATAAGAAGAAAAACATCGGGCGTTATTATCTTAATTTCATCTACTTAATCATGCGAGTTTACAGTTATTGAATTCTTGTTTTGTTTGTTTTCTTTCTTGTTTTTATTGATTTTTAAACATTTAGAATTTTGTTTGTTAACATGCCGCTTCAGTATGTACATGTATGTAGTGGGGCGGGGGGGGGGGGGGGATCATGAACCAGTAAGGAACACAAACAATTCAAATGATCATTTATATGTATTTGAAAACAACTTAAAAAAAATAATGTATTCTTATCAGTAGACCAGATATTAGTTTTTGTTTGTTTGTTTGTATTGGTTTTTTGATTGTTGTTGTTTTTTAAAGTCTTCCGTTAAACTCGCCTTATAAAACAATGATTTATAGCATGGAAGTAAATTATAAATTATCTGTAAAACGAAACTCAAGTTACATTGTATGAGAATTTTTAGTGATTATCACGACCTACATATACATGTAATGGACGACAACCTAGATTAAATGTAAACTGCTAAATATGAAGACTGAGCATTTTACGTGTACAGTATGTCTCAGGTATTTCATAGATAAGATCATAATTCAGTTGTTTGTCTTTCAAACATTTAAATTACGATTTAGCAATTGCAATTACAATTGGAAGTTCCAACTTATTTTAAAACGCATGAATAATGTAAACAAATGAATTTGAAAGCTTTTTTTATTAAGATACTCTTATCAATTTCACTCCATCCGATACATCGAAAATAAATTTAACACCTTTTTCTTCTTTTTCTTTCGAGATATACTTAGCTTGTAAGTTACAAAAAAATAAAATTGATAATTCTACGTCGAATGTACGGTGAAATTCTTGAAAATTTATCAACGTTCTCCATATTGTCACTTACATGTACATGTTTCGATCGCCATAAAAACAGTAATGATCGATTTCACTACTGTATTTGGAATATACAAGGGGCGGGGCTTACTGGCGGCAAGATTAAAGCGGGGTCCGCTTCACGAATGAGTGCGTAAGGCGAACCCGGAAAGCGAACGCCGGGTTCGCTCTAGCGGACCCAGAGCTGACCCCGAGCGAACGCAGAGCGAACCCGAAGCGCACCCAGAGCGGTCCCAAATTTTCTGAAAGCGGACCCGCAGCGGACCCCGAGCGAACCCAGGAAGCGAACCCGGGGTGCGCTTTGGGTTCGCTCTGGTGTTAGGTTGTGTCCGGTCGGTACTGTATTTAAAATTACAAACATGTATTTTTTACTGCGTCAATGTTCTAAACTCAGATCTCAAGTTTGAAACAGAAGGGCTACATATCCGAATCTGCTCTTACTTGGATTTCATTTATATAATTTGCATACATTAACGGAAAGTTTTATTATATCCATGAAATTGTGTTGTAAAATAAACACAAACTAGAATCAAGAATTGAATCTAGTCTATAGACAACACCATTATGCACAATGAAAAGTAAACAAAAATATCGAAATAAACTCTAAATGTGTCGACAATATCATGCTTCCTTGTTAACATCTATGAAAAAGTTCCTCCGATTTATACATATTGAAATGATTTATAGGAAACAAATTAGTATATCTACATGGCCTAAAGTCAATGACCGTAATTAACCACAAGCTTTTTGAAAAGAGAAAAAAAAAAATCCCGGTCCTATAGTTCAGATAACAATTTATAAAAAGTGTTTCTTTGCTGGAAGAAATTCAGTCAAGAATAAAAACAAATGTTATGCTTAAATGTGCAGGGTATGTTCCTACGCACCGGGAAGCTGTTCTGATATAAAATATCTATATTATATAGATGTGAAAAGACGTCTACGCTCCTGGAAACAGCAATAATTTGCATTAGAAGACAAAAATATAAGAATATCAGAGGATCTTCACTGTTTACAAATGACACAGGTTAGTGGAAGCTTTGGCATAGAGTCCTCTATTAGAAACCGAAACACACGGACAATCATCTACTGACAATAACGAAAGTACTATTAGTATCAAAGAAGAGTGTCGAATAACTGTTTGCAAGATTTCCTGTTAGGATAAATATAGTAAGAGTTCTATCCATAACATAGTAATTCATATCTTCAAATGCTCATTGCATGTGCGAGACAGGTTCCTCACCTGTGTATCAAAGAAGAGCCTAAAAGCATGCAAGAATGGTATTCCCAGAATTCTGTGGGGTTGATCCAATTTTTTTGAGCAGATATGATGTTATTATTATTATTATTATTATTATTATTATTATATATATATATATATATATATATATATATATATATATATATATATATATATATATATATATATATATATATATTAGTCATGTCTATCAATTTTTTTTCTGTTATGTATATTAGTAATTTAGAATGTTCTACATATTTTAACGCAGTTCTTTCATCAAATTTGTTTACTTATTAGGAGACAACGCAGCACAAATATTGCTCCGTATAGTGTCTGGAGAATTACCAAGTCCATAGCGGGAAGTTTTAAGTACAAATAAAATGATATGTATATGGACATGTATTTCTTTAAATATTTTAAAATATTATTATGAATTGAGTTTAACATTCTTTAAGCAAGATTTTTATTCCATACTGCAAATGGATTGAATAAATTACGCACTTTTTGAGTGAACTTTAACGACAAAAAAATCCATTTGTGAAAAGAAAATCTGTCGAAATTTACCACTAATCTGAAGTCCTTTACTTTAATGATTAACGGTAAAAATATCAAAAGGTGAAGCTTACCCAAATATTGCACACGACATCGTTAAACACGATGTAATCGTGATAAAAACGCTTTATGTTTATATTTTCCGAGTACGGGAAAAACAACTATGATATAACACGAAAGCCTTCGAGATAAGATTATTGAAAAAAATTCTGCTAACATCCAAGCAAAAGTTATGATTTTGTTTCCTCTTTCACTTAATACCTCAAAATTGGCTGACAATCACCTGTTTTGTATAATAAAGTTGACCGTGAAATCAAGTGTATTTGATCATGCTGCACTAACAGATTACGTATGACGTCACTGACTTGTTAGACGAGCAGTGTAGAAGAAACAGAGAAGTGGCTCAATCTTTTTCGCAATTTATAAATATTGATATGAATTTCAAAACTGTGAAATATTTTCATATAAGATGATAAAGCACAACAACTTGTACAAAAATTGCACAACTGCAGGTGATTTTCATGATGTTTTAGCATCTTTATTAATAGGTATTATGATTTAGTCAATTAATCATGAGACATGTTTCCTGCATCCCCTTGACTCAAAATACATGTATACTTTTTGTAATACAAAATAAAAATACCCTCAGAACAGTTGGCAGTACGCCAACCTGGTTTATATCCAAACGTACACAAACCATCTCCGTGATCACATGTCATGTTGACACAGTTTTCGTTACAACGTTGTGAGCAGTTTTTACCATACCACCCTCCTTCGCAACCTTACAAAACAACTGGGCATATACAAATAGTTTCCTCAGCACATGTAGTTTCAGGTCGTAGATATGACCCATATATACTTTGTTAATAGAGAACTTTTTAAAACGTCAACATGATTTCAGATTTTTCATAAAAATGTATTGGTTTTGTGTAAACAACTGAAGTAGCAAATTGTTTTATCTAAAGATTTAAGTAAGAAAACATACTCTTATCGCATTTTGGTCCAATGTATCCATCCATGCAGCCGTCTATACAGTTTCCATCAGTGTTGGTACAATAAAGACTGGTTCTGCAAAATGAACTGCATGTTTCTGTGCAGTTTTCTCCATATAGTCCAAATCTGCAAGCTTAAAGAAATATTTATGTATGCAAAAGATACTCAAAAATATTATGATAAATATTCAAGTTCATATTCTAAGCTTCAAAGAGAAATTTCCAGTTAATATTGGTGACAACAATATGTAATTCATATGTTGAATCATACTACCGCAATTTTAGGTTAGTATTGTATGTGCATAGTAACCAGATAATACATTAATTCATGTACAAAATGAATTTCCCAGGTGAAGCAACACATAAAAACATTATGCATTTCCTAAGCCCCCATCAAATTGTCCCGATTTGGCTTCGCAACCACTCACGATTTGGCCTATCGTACTTTGTCATCGAGAACGTAGAAATGATCGTGTTGAAACCTGATGAGTCGTAGGCTTACCCTGAATGATCGGCAAAAGCCGATAAAATTCTTCAACCTTCATGCTGCATAAAACAAAATGGAGTGTGGTTATGACATGGACAAGACCATAGTTCTATTGTGATTTATTCGTTGCTGAACCTTGATTAGTCGAAACCACATCGATGTGATAGAGGTAGGAGAACCACAGAGGAGGCGATTTTAAATTTTACAATCAAAGAAAGATTAGGCCGAGATACAGTAAAAACAAACGCCAATATATGACACATTCAGTTAAGACTTCAAGAACAAATGGTGCCAACAACGAAAATAATAAACGATCAGACTCGAAGGTCCACAAGTAGTTTCACTCAGTATCTGTTGTCACTACACGGTGTTTCAAGAAATGGTATTTCATAACAGTGGAATAAAGTATATCACATTTTACAGGTTTTAATGTTTTAAACCCATTATTGTAACATATACGAAGTTATTTATACAGATAAAGTCAGTTTGTTATTAATTCAAATACGATTTCATCGTATCTTGAATTTACACAACGCCCTTGTCACACTGTCACTATTTAGACCTTACGATTCATTACGAATTAAAAAATAGCTGCAATTTGGGATTCATCGTAGAGGTAGTCGCAGGACATCTTCCTTATTCGTGTTTAATCGCAGCAAATCGCAAATCGCGGCGATGTTTTTAGCATGTTCGAAACAATAGTGGGCACAGCAGGATTTTTAAGTATTCGAAGACAATCGCACAACACTCGCACTGCACTCGTATACAAATTCGTAGTAAATCTACATTCATGCGACTTTTGCGGAACTTCATAGTACTCGGGACTCTGCTAGTGTCCTTCGAGTTACTGCAATTGTCTTTCAAGCTACTGTGAGTGTTTTTCGAAATCATAGGAATATAGTACGACTTTCCCGCGAACATAAGAAGAAAAAGAGCGATTGATGGAAAATACATTACGAGTACTGTGAGATTGAACTACGACTTACATGTAATACGATGTAGGCATGTGTTTTCTGATGTTAACCCTGTCAAAATTAAAATAAAATCTAAAACAAAAGGAAAGAAGATAAGTAAAGGGAACTGAAAATGCAATTATTATAGAACCTATCAAGTCCATGTTCAATAAATTAATGAAGAAATTGAACATAATCAAAAGCTCCGCACTTTAGTTATTTTCTTGATTAACCATCTTTGATATGAAGAATACTAATTTCGAACAACTATCGCTATATGCATTTCATAACATGTATATTCTATGAAATCGTCGTAGGAATATCATGTATGTATCGTGCCATATCGTAGTTATTCGTATGAGTATGGTATGTTTCCGTGTCTCATCCTTCATAATCATAGAAAGATCGAAACCCGTTCCTGATTAAGTCGCCTCAGTCCGTACTTAAATCCCCTCTTCGTATTTTGTCGAACAGACATCGTAGTTATACAGTTCGAGCAGCAAAAAATACCACCCTCTGTGGAAAAATTGCAAGACTAATCTGCCGAATAACGACAATTTTTAACTTTTAATAATTCTTGGGTAATAGTAGCATAAATCGTGACAGTGTGACGGAGAAAGCGACGGAGAGCTGTTTGGATCGGAACACGGTTATTACATAGAAGGACACTGTTTGGAGAATATGAAAAATTGATGGTAAAACTTTAGCTCATACAAAAATTACATTCGTATGTAGTATGCCCAACTTCAAGAATTTCTCGACCGATTAGGAAACGCATCAGTACGAAGAAAACCTGGTACCGTTAGGTATTAGATCCTTGATTGAAATAGACTATTACACTGCGGTACAAGGCCTCGATAGCGATGAAGGAGGTTCTGATATATGCCGATGTGTTCCGCTTTATCTGATTAGTCAATAATTCGAATTGTTTACTGCAAACCAATCAGATGGAGCAAAACGAAGCAATAACACCAAAAACTCCTATATTAATGTCAATGGAGAAATGCTTATGTGTCCATTTAATAAATCGTCAAATTACGGTACATAAAACACTAAGGATGGGGTTTAGGTTAAAGAAACAAGTAGAACATCTCCCTGACAGAGTTCTTGCAAAATATGATAGGTTACACTGTTTTTACCTTGGAAATATGTCTCGAAGCAGGGACCTCCCCCCGTTTGTTTATAAATTTTGTTTCTTACCTTGTGTGTTTTTATTATACCCTACATGGCCAATCTCTGAACGAAAGAAAAAATACAATCTGCTTGCCTATGACGGAATATTGAAGTGGTTGACGTGGAAATCTGATAAGTTTGAGAAATCAAGGTGGGGAGGGGGGATTCACACTTCAGATGTCTGTGATAGTAACATCCTCATTATACCAGCTTATATGTTATATAGTTCAGTGCATAATTAAAATGTGTTCGAACCACGGTGAAAAAAAGGCCCCTCAGAAGTGAGCGTGTTTCTAAAAATAGAGTCAACACCATAATCATGTTTGCCATTGCTGAATATGTATTAAAATATGTGATTGATGAGTATGCAGTATTTGTAAGAGATTTACAATAAGTTTGCCCTGGGCAATGTAAAATTTCAAAGCTGTACCTTTTTTAAGTTGTAATTTCCAAGATATTTTTACGCCACATAATTGGGGATTCCCGTCGTTTAGATTACTTAAATCATTCATCCTCAGTATGGACTACAATATAATTTTGTCTTCGAAAAAATCACACTCACGTAAACAGAAATAAGATTTGTTGATTTTATTTATTTCCAACTTGCTGAATTTGTCCGATCCAAACTGTCTGTCCGATGCATGGTGAGTTTACCCTATATGAAGGATAATATGCGAATTTTTTCAAGCATCCTTTACCCATACTCGTATATGGACACATTCTTTCTGGCACTTTAACATGAAATATTCACATTCATGTAAGTGGATCTAGGGTTAAAAAGGATATTAGAAACGATAATGAATATAATCTGTCGATAAAAATCAGGGCTGGGATTCATAAACATACTTAAGATTTGTGCTAAGTTTCACACTTAAGTATAAAATAAATTCTTAGCTAAGAAAAAATTCTTAAGTCATATTTATATAAATTCTAAGTGCAATTCTTAGCTAAGTTTAATTCTGAGAAAATTAGAGCACTTAAGTTAGGTCACCCTAGCAACGCATGCAATTTCCCGAACAAAAAGCGCACTCTTTTGTGATGGAGGTATTTAGTTCCATGTGTGTTACATCACAACTGATACAACTTCGTCATCAACATTGCACAACACTGCATCTTACCAGTTGATAAACATCTCAAAGTCAAAACAAGTTTCTAGTTGGATGTAATAGCATGGTTTCTTACTGAAAGAGTAAAATGTCTTCTGTAAAGCATTATTTTTATTTTGATAAAGAAAACTTAAGTATTTCTTATCTACTTAAGACACCTCCTGAGGACACTTAACTTTAAGTCAATACTTAAGCACTAAATATGTTTATGAATTACACTTAAGTATTTCTACCAAATTTAAGTAATACTTAGGGGACTTAAGTATAAAATATAAAACTTAAGTGATTTTTTAAACATAAGATTATACTAAGAAGTTTTATGAATCTCAGCCCTGCTGTATAATTAAAACCTACATACACTGTATAGATGGATATACAAAAAGTTAAGTCGATTTATGTGTTCAGTGTTGTTTTAATACAGATCTTTCAAGAAACTGTAATTTTTATGTAACGAATCACTGTGCAACTAAAGAAAATGTTCTTTTTCGTAATTTATCTGTAAACCGATTTTTAAATCTCTTAAAGTAATATCTGCGACGTAACAAGTATAATTACTTTTCCATACTGAGACTTGTAGCAAATAAAGGCTCAACTCCAATATAAGGATAAAGTAGTCCTTTTACTAAAACCAGTAAGAATGTATTCATACATCAATGTATAGTAATTTTACAGAATTAATTATTTCTACATTTCCATACATACGACCGGAGACAGGTTGACAGTTGACACTCTATGAATCCCGTTTCATTGTTGACAGGGGACATGTCGACAGTTGACGGATGACACTTTCAATACGTTCTAGTGTCAATCTGGGACAGGTCGACGGTTGACAGTTGACACTCTATGTATCCCGTTCTAGTGTCGACTCGGGACAGGTCGACGGTTGACAGTTGACACTTTCCATATGTTCTAGTGTCGACCGGGGACAGGTCGACGGTTGACAGTAGACACTTTTCATATGTTCTAGTGTCGATAGGGGACAGGTCGACGGTTGACAGTTGACACTATTTATCCTGTTCTACTGTAGACCAGTCGACGGTTGACAGTTGACACTTTCCATATGTTCTAGTGTCGATAGGGGACAGGTCGACGGTTGACACTATATGTAGCCTATTTTACTGTCGACCGGGTACAGGTTGACACTCTATGTATCCTGTTTTAATGTCGACCGGGGACAGGTCGATGGTTGACAGTTGACACTAAATCGTGTAGGAGAGATTAATCATATTTCCTCTTGTATATGCGAAACTTACTACAATCCCTCTGGTGTATGCGAGACCAACAGTAATGTTTATGGTGTGATAGAAACTAACTCTAATCACAATGATTTGTGTGAGACTAACACCCAACCCTAATTCATAGACTAACCCTTATCCCACTGATGAATGTGATGCTAACCCTAATCTCAATGGTGTAGGTGAGGCTAACCCTAATCCCACTGATGAATGCGAGGCTAACCCTAATCTCTATGGTGTAAGTGAGGCTAACCCTAATCCCACTGATGAATGCGAGGCTAACCCTAATCCCACTGATGAGTGCGAGGCTAACCCTAATCTCTATGGTGTAGGCGAGGCTAACCCTAATCCCACAGGTGAATATCTGATTATCCTTAATATAAATTGTGTATGGTACCCTAACCCTAATCAAGCCGATGAATGCTTTCCAATGTGGTGTCAGTAACCAAATAGAGAAACGGCATAAAATTGTTGAATGTCAATTGTCAACTGTCCCCGGGTGACATTAGAAATGGCTAGAGAAAAAAATTAAGGCATAAAATTGTTGAATGTCAACTGTAAACTGCCCCTGGTCGACATTAGAAATGGTTGAATATCTACTGTCAACTATCTGTGGTACACAGTAGATAAGAATGGGAACTGTCAACTGTCAACCATGTAAGGTTGACAGTAGTCAAATGGACACCAAATCACTACTTTCATATATATATATATATATATATATATATATATATATATATATATATATATATATATATATATATATATATATATATATATATATATATATATATATATATATAAGCTTCCGCATAGGGACTACATACCCTTATACTGGAGTTGACCCCAAACAAAAAAGAACAGGGACATCAAGCAAACCGATTCTTAAATATTTTTATATCTACATGTAAACAGGGATAACCGCCAGAGTATTACCTGCACCACCAAAATATTTAGGCTGACCGCATACATAGTAAATATTTCTGTAGTTATCTGGAGTACGATTCCCGAGAAAGAGTTGATCTACATTGTATAGTAACCAGGTCTCTGAAACACCCATACTATCAATTCTTTTTGACATGTCAATAATAAGAGTTTGCTTTACTTCTAGTGTCCTGCGCTTGGCGAAGAAAAAGCCACTGCCTATGTTTAGGTCTTAGATTTGACGCGGTGCAACGAACGAGAAGTGAACCCAGGCCTCCCTATCACGAAGCGAGCCCTACCACTAGGCTACATTGACCGTGCATCGGAACTGAAAAAAAGACGTGAATAACGTATGCAAACACACTTCTGTAGCATTTTAATTCTTTGTATCCATCCTTGCAACCATTTGTGCCGTTTTTGTACGTATTGTTACATTGAAGACTAGTTGCAAAATGAACTGCATGTTTCTGTGCATTTTTTTTCCATGTAACCCAAACGTATAAGTTGACGCAATGGATACAGTTATTGTATTCTGTAATATCTCTTTTTGAAACCGCTGATAAATCTGTGTTGTAATTTCTCAACTGAATGATTTGGAATACTCTTAAAAGTCTCCTTAGTATATATACTATTCAAATCATTTTATTGACACTTTATGTACATACATTGACTGCAGTGTGAACCTGTCCATCCTGGTTTACACCCATAGCTACACTCTCCATGTACATTATGACAGGATGTATCAATGCACTTAGAGCTACATTCCTTGGAGCAGTTTCCTCCATACGTTCCTTCGTTGCACTCTTTTGATATTGTAAAAAGAACACATAGCCAGAAAAAGACATCAAACGACAGTAATAGTTAGTGCAACTATATACCTTGTACTAAACAATTAAAAATAAATAAAATTTGTCATCTTGAATTTTTATAGGAACACTTTACTCATAAAACTTTGATAAAAAGAAATGTTTATTTTTTTAAGAATAGTGTAATACCTTCCTCATATTAAATTTGAAACATAAAACCATGAAGCAAGTGTATTTAATCACTAATAAACAAAATCTATTTCTAAAATATTCGATAGATGTTCTTTTTCTTTCTGAATTTTATTTTAATTTCTTGTATTTGCATGTACTACATCTGCTTAAAAGGTGTGCATGGAGAACTACTATTGTTGCGCATGATTTGGTATATTTTTATCATCTTACAGAAAATCTGTGATAAATATTAATAGACTTCCTAAGGTAATTTCTTTTTTATCCACTGTTTTATGAGCATCTTTTCTATTGTTTTTAGCATACCTTCAGTACAGGTTTTTCCCTGGTATCCATCTTCACATCCTTCAGTACAAAATCCATTTTCATGGAAACAGTTTTGACCTCGGCATTTGATATTACAGATCTCAGAACAATTTTGACCAAAATTGCCTTTTGAACATGCTGTAAGAAATTGTTAACATTTTGTACATGCTTGTAATTTAAACGAGAGCACATATAAGGTTTTTTCCTGTGTACATGTAGAATGTCCTCTTTTAGAGATGATGTGTAATAAGATTAAGGTTTACTTGGTTAATTAACAATGCAGATCGTACTTACAATTATTGCAAAATTTCCCAATATACCCAGGTACACAGCTTTCACATTTTCCACTTGCTTTATCACATAGTAAGCTGTTTCTACAATTACTACTGCATTTATTCGTGCAATTAGGTCCATACCATCCATCAAGACAAGCAAATTTAAAGGATTGTGGTCCCCCAATTTCGGTGTCTTAGTGGGTGAGATCCCATTATTCATGGCATATTGTGTCAAATATGAATGCCCTATCATGTGTCAATCAAAAATAATCACCAAAGTTAATTTTTTTTTAAATAAGGGCAAACATGGAGTTCAAGGTCAAGGGGTAAAAAAAAAAGCATAGAATGCTCAGAAATATCTTGTCACAGGTAATGCACATGTCAAATATGAAAGCCTTATCTCTACTCAATCAAAAGTTATAAGGAAAAATAACAATTTTGAAAAGGAGGACAAACTTCATGGACGAGGTAACAGGGTAAAAAAATCATAGTATATTTAGAAAGGTCTTCTCACAGATAATATACATGTGTAATATGAAAGTCATATCTTTGTCTTTCAAAAGTTAGGACCAATTAAAGTAATGGTAAAATGTTTGAAAAATAGGTCAAAATTCAAGGTCAAGGTCACGGGGTCAAATATCATAGCATATTTGGAAAGGTCTTGGCAAGGGGAATGCACATGTGAAATATGAAAGCCCTATCTCTTCTTATTCAAAAATTATTACCAAGGTTAAAGTTTTTGTGACAGACGGACAGACTGACTGACAGATGAATGAGATTTAATGTCCCCTCTCTTTCGTGAAAGCGGGGGACAATTACTTGCATTCCATAGTTAAATTGACAAATTGTGAACTTACATGATTAAAACTGGTACGAGGGTTGAACCAAAAGTAATGGCAAAATTGCTATAAAATGTTCAATAAAATGAATGTTCTCAAGAAATTTCTACGTACTTATACCTGTATCTGTTTGGATTTTTGCCTGAAAATTTCATACAGATATACCCGGTATGCAGTACTTTTTGAGATAATTTTAAAAATGGCTTTTGTCTTATCTCCGCACTGCAAGAATGTACCGACGTTGATTTGAAGCTTCTCTTCGGAACTCATAATCAGTTCATCCGCATATAACTTCTACGCAAAGAGGAATAAATTTAGGAAAACATTTGAGCAAAGTACAAATGAGTTTATAACAATTTTTTAAAACAAGACGCTTTAGAGCAAAAAGCAGTATAGATTATAAAATCTTGCTGTGCAGAGATAAACAAAATCTAACAATTTATTTTTCTTAATATTTTATTTTTTATATATAAGAGACTTACGTTGATCACAATTGGGTATATTCCATCCTTCCTCGCACCCATGTTCACATTTTCCACTTATATGATTACAGGAAGCACCACCAAAACAATGGCCTGTGCACTTCGTTTTACACTCCATACCATAATTTCCAAACATGCAAGCTAATTAAAATGAAAATCAACTTTGTTTTGGATGGATGGATGTACTTTTTCACTCAAATCAAGAATAACAAGCCCAAGACTAAATCAAGAAACGCTTATAGACTTTTAGTACATAATTTGTACATTGTCTTAAACTTTTAGAATAACAAACAAGGATTTAAGCACACATGGTTTGAAATTCTTTTTAAAAGTTTATTTCATAAATATCTGAAATTTTGACATGTCTCAATTCAATACTTGATCCTGGAGCAGGAGATTGGAATCTTACTTTCGTTACAGAATTCTCCTATCCAACCAGCTGTACAGCCAAGACAGGTTCCGTTTATTATATTACATCTTTTTTCCTGGCAGTGAAGAGGACATGTAAGATCACAGTTTTGACCGTACAATCCATCTTTTTGACAGCCTTGAAATACAGATCAAAAGGTATTTATTAAATATATGTACATATATGCATTGGGTTATTTTGTTATAGCATTTACTAATGCATTGAGAATTATAGCAAAATATTACCCATCACATTTACTTCACATAGCTCTGTTACAATGCTAGTCTCGTAACCGGCAGGATATGTCGTCTTATTTCTTTCATTGTAAAATGTAACATAACGGCCATGAATGGTACAGATATTGGTCAAATCTAGTTGAGGTAATTCTGTTCCGTCCTTGTAGCACAGATAACTGTGCTGGATTTCTGTTGTGTTTGAAACATATAACGAAAACCCCGCCAGTCTTCCTCTTTGACGATTATCTAAAATTTTAGTTAGAAACGCTTTACATGTAAGTGTTTTACAGTACTTGTACGTTTGTAACTATGAAATATTTCTCTAATGAATCATAGACGTCATACAGGTATCCATAATGTCATTACCTCTAACTTAAAATACTCACTAAACCAAAGTAATTGCAAAAGAATATATATATATATTTTTTTGATAATTAAAAGTCAAATTGGACTTCTCTGCTGTTAAAAATTAATGAAACCAAATTTAATTCTTATTTGCACTTTTAATTAAATAATGTTTGTACACGATGATAATACACCTAGAAAATAATAATAAAAAAAAATATGTCTTTCTGACTAAAAATATTTCATTCTGTAAACTTGATGTGTACAAATTCTTCCTATGTGTGATCTTATTTCACATTCAGATATGTAAATGATACATTTACCAAAAAAGCATGGAAACATTTTTCTAGAAGTTCGAAAAAATATTTTTTAATGCGATGGAATGCATGTGGCTTTTACTACTCTATTTTGTCCGGAGTAATTTCTGTAGTTATTTTATTAATTTAATTTTCATGAGTTGCTAGACTCGCGTAATTAAAGAAAGTTCTAGCAAAAAAGTGTAGTATTTCATAAAATGATCAGGAATATGTCAATCTAGAATCTACGTTTTGAAACTTCTGGCAAAAAGTAGGATTTTTTGAGACAACATTTAATAAAAATTTTCACAGTAAAACAAATAAGACCATTCACGAATAACTGCAAATCTCCAAGAAAAACTTTCTTTTTCTCTTGTTAAAATGAATGCATTTATTGGCTTATTATTAAAGAATGAAAGGAAAATGTGTTATAATTTTGTTAATTTAGTTGGAACTTTATTTTCATTGAAGAACGAGAATATTTCATTGCCATGTAATAATGTTTACGAACATATCGGCGGCCATAATTAATTCAATATTTGATCTTTATCTTAAGCAGTAAGAGAACAAGGACACTGAATGACAGTCTTATAAGTTAGGGTGAAATTTATTTTTCTTTGAGATTTCAAAATAGCAATGATTAAGTTAGCCAAACAGATCTGTTTGAGTATTCCTCAAATATCGCTACGTACAATATGGTTGTCCATAGTCTTTAAACTGTATCCTTATACTGTATATACTCTTTATGTCACCAAGGTCCACTCTCCACCACACAGTTCTGTAAAAAGATGTCGTACCAATCGTACTAGTTCTTATACATGTATTGATGTCTCCATCAACTGCGTTGTTTGCTGCATACATGGAACAAGTTTGAGGAGAACATGGCCAATTTGAACTCTGCATAGAATTCTTACCCTGTGCTAAATTATCTATAAGATACAGAAATATACATATCAATGCATGTTGAATCTAGATCTAAATTTAGAATTATTTGGTAGCTATGGCTTTTTGCCAGAAAAGTGAAGTTTTCAATTCATTTTTTATTTGGTTGGTGTTATAGTACTATTGTTAAGAAATGAAGCATTCATTCATTCTGAAATAAATTTTACGAAATATATATAATAATGTTTTCACATTTGTCTCCCCTGATTAATAAAACATGCAGGTATTCAATGATTGTTTGTAGCTACATTTTATTTTGGAAATGCAAAACATTCATTCAAAACTCTCAGACCCCCATATTCGCTCTGAATAAACATGTTTACAAATGAGGAGGCATTATTTTAACCTTTGTATTTAAAGTACTGTGTAGCAGGGAAGGTTTAAGGAAATGAAGAATTTTTTCAATCAGCATGTTATAGTCAGGCGCGGATCCAGGACTTTTTCCCGAGGGGGGGGGGGGGCACCCCCGTCTAAAAAAATTCCAATCCAGAAATTTCTTGGGGAAAAAAAAAACCTTAACACCAAACTTAGTCTTGACCAAAAATTAAAAAAAAATGTAAAAAAATCCAAAACAAAACATATTTCGTGGTGGTGGTGGTGGGGTCCACGGTTTGTAGTGGGGGAGGGGGGGGGTTCTTAAGTTATTTTTTATTTGCTTCAGTATATACTTTTTATAACTCTGCAAATTCCAGGGGGGGGGGGGTCCCCGGACCCCGACCCCTCTAAATCCGCGCATTATAGTGTTTGTTCATCATTTGCTCTGTGGACTGTCATGGTAAATACGTGTATGTATGCATAGATATTAGACCATTGCAATGCAACAATGATGTTAATTGCTTATACATTCCTTTACTTTATTATAAATGACCGAAGAAAAGATGATCTAGATAAGGGAAGGGATGTTTGTTTTATTGAAAAATAATTGATGACAATAAAATGCAACAATATTCTTAAAGAATGTTGCGAGTTTACTACATTAAAAAAAAATTTCAGGAAAACATAACCTGAAAATTTGATATAATGTTTTCTTGAATTTGTATCGTATTACCTGAGGAAAGAGTTTCTTTACAAAATGTCAGATAACTTTTAAAAGACAAAGACGGATTAGTCAGGAACTCAAAATATCAAAGTCAAGTTAAAATTAAAACTATTAAGCAAAAAAAAAAAAAAAAAAAAAAAAAAAAAAAAAAAAAGAATATATTGTTATTTGTTTATTTGCTATTAAGGAGGCTGAGTCTACTTTGAGTGCGCATGACTTTGCGCAGCATTTTAATTTCATGCAGTTGTATGTGCAACATTACACTCTTCCCAAGT